TATAAAAATTAGCAAAACCTGAGAAGTAGATTTCAACCATCATTTTAGCCTCAAACATCTTATACGCTGAAGTAAAGAGAATAGAGAGCAGGGTAATTCTATGTTTTCCATGCTTCTAATTCTTTCCCTTGAGCAACTGACTCCACATGTACCCTTGTATTTTTTGTATGAAGAAGCTTTTATTTCTATTACTGTTATTATTGCTATTAGCATTATTATCACTATCATCATAAGTACATCATTAATAATAATAATATAAATAAAACCTCTTACTTCCAAAAATTACTGGAATAGAATAAAAGATGAGTTTAGGTAACCCTTGTCACTGAATCCTTGATGACTAAGTGCTTCTGTCTAAACAAACTTAATAAAACAAAACTATAGTGGACAATGCATGTATCCAAGAACTTTTTGGTGATACTTGATGTAATATATCACAGCAAACAGCAATAGACCTATATCAAAAATACCTCAACATTTTCCCTCTTGTGCAACAGCATAAGGGTTTCCTCTTTATCTAATCTATCACAGGGGGATATTAAAAATTTAGTTCATATTGCAAGGGAATACTTATTAACCTGAAGATATATCCACACAAACATTAATACCCATGAAAATATTAATCCTTAGCCTCCAGATGATGTAGCACTCATGTCATGGGTGACTTGATTGTGGCTTCCGCTGACATGTCATTCACATCATGCTGACTTGGGTTTGACTCCAGGCAACAAGGTCATTTACCTCATGTTACTATGATGCATGCATTACATTTCATAAAGTACCCTCATGCCTATTTGTCATATACTATGATTTACTTTTTATATAAAGGTCAATATTTAGTACATAAATCATTCCCTTTCTATGCCCAGAAAAGGTCACATCATACGAGCATGTGTGGGTGGCTTTATTCTTCTCTTTACTTGTTTTTCAATTTTGGCAATTTTCTTAGATCGTCTTCATCTTAATCTTCATTTTCGAAAACACATATTCAGAAAAAATTATAAGTAAACCCTGTGCAATTTAAGTATTTACTAGTCTTAAAATTTACTAATGTAGTTATTAAATCACCAATTCAATGTCTATAAAGACCATGATTCATAGTACCCACATGTCCTTAACCCAATGCCGACAGGCATGGCATGTACGTACATTCCATGCCCATTGTGAGTTTGCTTGTTTAATTGTTTTTAATCATAGATGGCTACACATGTACTAAGTCACCAAAGAGCCAATTACGAGTACTGTCATGCTCATTTACCCTTTTCCTCGATTTATGAAAAAATTCTGCGTTATCTTATTTATTATAGTAATTATAATATTTATAATAAAAATAACACCACCAATATTCATAGCATTAGTAAAAAGTACGTTTTTCCCCCCCATTCAAGGAAAGGTGAAATCAGGTAATATCACAAAGTCTACTAATTGACTCCTTTGTGGCTAAGCACTAGCAGAACCATCTCTGTGCAGAGACATTTCACAAAAAAATTAAAATTATCACAGCATTTTCCCCATTTTTTATTCATTTTTCCCTGATGGCAAGTAGTTAATAAATCATACTAACTTATAATAACTACATCACTTAAACTATAACATAACAGTTACTTCTATCCAGTGCACCTACTGTAAATTACTGTTAAATACAGAGTCATTATAACTGTTTACTAAAGTCTCTGAGGAGCATTACCTTGATAGGCTCTCCATCTTGAAGCTTCTCTAGCAGTTCTTGTTGTATAACACTCTGGCCACTAACTATCCAAGTGTCATCTACTGCATCTTCTACATCTTTGGTCTGAAATATGAATTTCTCCAACTGTAAGATTTATTATGTGCCTAATTCAATAACATTTTTTATAAATATCTGCTGTATAATTTTACTCTTTTACAGAATTACCTTTTACTTTACTGTATCTTTTCCTATATTCATATTTTCAGATTCCATATTAACAAAAATAATAAAAAATCAAAATAATTCTGAACATACAGAGAATTTACTGTTACACAAATATTTTCTTTTATCACAAACATCATCCTCATCAAGGATACAGAGTAATGAAAAATGCACATTGGCAAAAGCAGTTTAATGTGTGATTTAAAACATATCTTAGAATACACTTAAATGCAACTTACATCATATACAGTGATCTTGGATGTAGAGTCGACTGTGCACATGCGAGCCACTGCCAGTTTTGCTAATTCAAATGCATCATTGGAAACTATATCTGGTAAACTCCATGGAGATGCATTCTGAAAAGTTTAAAATCCATAATTGACATCCCTAAATGATATAAAAACTAGATCCAGCTCAATCCACTCAACTTATCAGATTCACAAACAGTGTAATATTCTTGAGAGTTGCTGATATCTCTTAGAAATTCTTTTTTATCAAACAGACTCCTACATCAACTAACAGATATTAACCCAGTGTCACCAGGGATGCTATGTACATACATGCCCTGTCCACTATGAGTATGGTTTATCTATTTATATACAGATAGCCCCTTTTTGAAATATTCTTTATTATTTTGAATTGCAATCAATATTGTTGATAACATGTAATAATCATAAAATCAAGCATCAGAAAAAAATATCCAAGACTCAAAGCAAAGGAAAATCAAGTGAGGCTACAACCAGTTTACGGCCAGTACCACAAACCTCATCACTCTAGTAAACCCTGCAGTGTTGGAGGATCCAATCTTATGTGGTCAGTCTCTTTGCCCACAGTACCCATATCACTACACCATGTCCAGTGATGCAAGTTAGAGTTCTGATACAGGACCTAGAAATCCTCAATCTCTAGGCTATTCCTGGAGAAGGAGGCTATTCTCACTACTGCGATCAGCTACCAAGCCATGGGGACCAACAGACAACTCTTACCCACCTCAGTACAATGAGTAGCCCAGTACAATGTGAATGTCTCACTCTTTACATCTGTCTGCCACAGATGTGAGTCAGGAATAGAATGCCTCTTTCTCATCGAGTTTGCAAACATTGGCAGGAGCATACACAGAAATAAGAGACAGGAAGCCATAGGCATGCTTCAGTCTCAATGCCATAATATGCTCATGAACCTCCACTACCAAAGGCTGAAGTCAGCTGGAGATGGCTATGGTTACTCCCTGGAGATAGTAACCAGTAATAGATGTACCCACCCATACTGATCATCCTGCTGCCAGGTCTTCTTACATATGTGAGGGGAGAGACCTCTCCCAACCACTTCAGTTCCCTTGATAGCAAGGTTAATCGATCATCCTGCCATTAAGACTGGATGTTCCAAGCTCCTACCTGAACAGCCCACCTGAGGTTAAACTACAGGCAGTAACTCTGGGTGGACACCACTTCTGCCATCCCTGCCAAGATTGCCCCATATAAAGGGGGGCAGCGGGCTGAGGGGCCCAACTTCCACCTGTTGGGTTCTCTTAGGATTTGACCCACAGGACTCACACTGTGTTGGCAGCTGTTGGCCAGCATGCAGGATGAGTAACCCCAATCCCATCTTGGGCCCCAGCAGTCACCCTCCCATCAGGACCCACAGCCTGCTTCACTTGCTGGGTGAGAAGAGCAGAACCCCTCCTCCCAGCATTTGTATTCATAAGGTTCAATGCCACTGGGTTTACATTTGGGGGAGCAGGAATGGCAAGGCCCAATTCCTATGAGCCACCCATTAACCCCAGGGGGCTGAGGGGCTGGAGTTGGTACAGAGCCAGGGCGTGTCCACACACTGGTGGGCCACGATTTCTTACCTCCAGATCCCCTACAGTTTAGCTTGGCACCACAAGGTATCCAGTTTCCATGTGTGGCCACCAGTAGGCACTGCAGAAGTCTCAATGATAGAGAGACTGTGAGCTTTCAGGGGAGGTTTATGCAGAGATATTCCCTTTTTCACACAAGGCTAGTGGCAGCTGCAAGCAAGAAGGCATGCAAAGCACTTAAAACTATCCAAGCTACCATATCATTGCTTCACATCACCCTAAGCATGAAGCACCCATATAGGTATATACTGTAGGTGCCAGGATATCTGCCTGTGCAAATGCATACACGAGGTTGTGAAACTGGCATTACTTGACATATATGATAAAAAATCATACTTCTTAACTATCATATAAAAAATTTACAACACTGATATCTCACCTTGAATTTGGGCATCCAGTACATCATTCTGCCATATTTGCGAATAGGATGGCTGTATTTTCCAAAAGCATTCATAAGAATCATCTCCATCTCAGTATCTGGCATTACTCCTACCATAAAAAGCATTCTATTAATAATTCACATTTGGTAAAAGTTGTGTAACTAAGTAATTCTAATCTTTATAGATATTTATGGTATCAAGTTTAATAATAAAAAAAAATCTTAATCTATTTAGTATATAACTTCTATTAACATTTTTTTATCTTAATACTTTGAAGTTGGACATTACTTTCAAACAGACTTCTTGCAATCTAATTTTGTTCTATCCATTATTGGCAGTTTCACATGTAATAGTCTACTAAACCTCAAAGGATATTTTATACATCTATACAGAAGCATAGCTAGTAAGGGTACCCTTGTGGTGGAAAATGCGTCAAATTCCTAGAGCTTTTAACCCCTTGGATAAGGGTGACACAGTAAATGAAATGAAAAATATAGACCATGGCAAAAAAGCAAAAAATCCTTTGGCAAAAAAGAGATAATAACATTTTAAAAGGGGGCCAGGTGTCTTGACATAGCACAGGAGTGTTCATGTGGCCCAGGCCTACAAGCCACACATGAGAGAGTCACCAATCAAGTAAGCATAGTATCTGGATTTTGTGCCACATGCACCTGGAGCCAATGGGTTAACCCATTCACGCCGGGTGTCACGTATATGTGACGGGCCCACTGTGAGTTTACTTGTTTGATTGTTTTTACGCATAGATGGCTGCACTTGTACTTGTACTGCCTGTCTCATCTGTTTGCCCTTTTCTTTAATTTACGAAAATATTATAGGTTATCTTATTTTGCTGTTACCAACATTATAA